CATCGGTGCAAGCAAAGAAAGCAGGCGCCTGGGATGTCCAGCAAGATCATGTACGGACGCCTAGCAAAATTGCGGGCGGGACATTGTAAATGCAGTGAAAGCAAACTATCCCCTTGTGCATACATCGTCGCCTACAGGTTGAAGGGTCTCGGAGACCTTCCCTTCCCTGCCTTTCTTTCTTTCACTTACCACTGTCCTGCACGTGCCTGACGAGCACGGGTGTCATGCTATTGAAATCGTTCACCTCCTGCCGCCTACATGCGGACCCCCTTCCCCTTCTTCACCTTCCCCTGCTTCGGAGCTTGCCCGTGCCTCTGCCCCCTGCTTGACAAGCCCACACATCCCTGTTCCCACAGGCCGCACACCACTCCGATGCACTCAAGGCTTGCGGGGCTCCCAACTGGAAAAATTCTCGCAGCGGGCACGCATGGTCGGCGTCACCGTCTCGGCTGCAGGGGAGGGAAATGCCCTGGTAAGGCTCGCCGGGGCCGTCCTGATACATGAGCCGGACCAGGTATTCCTCCCCGCCCTGTGCGGGTACTGCGTGCAGCTCAAAGACGAGGACCGCTGCCAAGGCCGGGATTTTCTCCCGGACCCAGGACAGCGTGCTGTTCGCGACCTGGTCCGCCTGGAGGGAGGCGAGGACCCCTAGCAAGGTGTTGTAATGGGCCGCCACGCCCGTCAACCGGTAGACGTGGGGCGGGAAGCTTGTCTCACGGTGCTGCACGGCCTGTTCCATCCGTCCCAGCACGTCGGCCAGGAGACCCCCCCCGACCCGGTTCTGCACCAAGGACGAACGCATCTTGGCGGTCTCCAACCACATGGCGAGAGCCACCATTCCTTCATAGGTCTCGTCGTCCAGAACCTGAGGGACCTCGTCCCTGTCCACGGACGCCTGGCGAACCTGAAATCGATCGTAGACGTTCCACCATTCGGCCAAAGAGACGTTCACGGCGGGGCCGGCCAGGGCTTGAACCCGGGTGCGCAAGGACAAAGACTCGGCTTCTTTGGCGCGAAACTCGAGGCTTTGGAACCACCTTTCCAGGTCACGGTCGTATGTGGGGCACTTGGTGTATGCGCGTATGCGCCAATCTTGCCCCTCTTCGGTCGAAAAGACAGGAGGTTGAGAGAGCACGTGCAGCTCTTCTCCATTGCAAGCCTCCTCTCCAAACGCCCCTGACAAAAAACTGCTGGCGCTCAACAACGTGCGGTGCAAAGCAGACGAGTTAAACAGGGTGTTGAAATTGTTGTAGTTCAAGTCAGGGTTTGAGTCGACGACGCCGTATTTGGATTCAGTGCCGTGAGGGGTAAGACAGGTACCTGTCCGGGCGCACGTGGCAAGGTCAAGGTATCGTTCCCGAAATTCCTTACCAACCTCATAACATTGTTGTTGACCTTCTGGAAGGAGGTTGGGGCCACCAAACACATTGGATTCTTGAAGAGTGCTTGTCTTGGGTAGCATATTGCGGGCACCATGGCGCAGGACAACGTACGACAACACGAGCTCGCCTTGCACAGATTCGAAGGGAACCCCGGAGAAGGAAGACAACGCTGCGGCGGAGAATGCGGCGGTCAATGTCCACCGAGGAAGTTGTTGAAGCATGGTGGAAGAGATGTGGGTGGCAGCTTTGATTGTGCCCTGGGGTCACGGTGGGGCGGTGTGTGAGCGTAAGATACCTAAGTTGGCGAGAGAATCAGGGGCCGATCGATGTCGTACACAGATATCTTTTGGCATTTTCACACGTCGAGAAAGAACGCACCATCAAGGAAGACATGTGTTGTATCATGTGTCGTCTTTTGAAGGTCAAACCACAGGCGTGGATCCACAAGCGCTGTAAGCGCAGCGTCACAGGAGGTCGTAATTGCCGCTCAAGCCTGTCTTGACCTTCTCTCGGCTCGCCTTCTCATCCGTTAGAGCCGTTCGAACCGTTACTTCGGCTCTTTCTTTTTTTTTCTTTCCGGGAAAGGTAGGGGTAGACAGCGAATAGAAACAAAATCTACACAGCAAGGATACTAGTGGCATTTTTTGGCAATTGGCCAAGTTTGTGTCCTGAACGTAATTCAAGATTTCGTAATTCTCGGGTCTAACTGAAATCGTCATCCGGTCTTTCCATCGCTGTTCATAATACATACAACGCGTTACAGGAAGGTATGGACAAGGATTACAGATCTATCCGTCTTTTGGGAGAGGGTGCATTCGGTCAAGTGTACCTCATGCGCCATGTCCCCACTCAACGTCTCGTTTGCGTGAAAGCACTCAAGGAATGTCATGAGAATTCGATACCTTGGAAGGAAGTAAAGATTATGCGGAAACTTTGTCATCCGTGCATCGTCCGTTATCAGGATAGCTTTTCACTAGCTAACATTGTCTTCATTGTCATGCAGTATGCCGATAAAGGGGATTTGTCATCCAAGCTTGATGCCGCACGTCGCTCTCGCCCTCGCATGCACTTTCCTGAATCCCAAATTTGGCAATGGTTCAGTCAGCTCTGCCTAGCTCTTCAGTATATGCATTCACGCAAACTTATCCATCGAGACATTAAACCGCCGAATCTTTTCCTTCTCGGCCCTGAAGAACGCTTGGTTTTAGGAGACGTGGGCGTTGCTAAGAAGCTGGACACAACGAAAGCTTTTGCTCATACAGGCATTGGCACTCCATTCTACATGGCTCCTGAGATATTCGGAAACAGAGGCCACAACACCAAGGCTGACGTGTGGTCATTAGGAGTGCTACTTTACGAGCTGGCTTACTTGACCCACGCCTTTGGCGGTGCTTCAATCGACGAAATTGCAAGAAATGTCTTGAGCGGGTGTTTTCGTCCGGTAGCACCCGAAGACACGCAAAGGTATAGCAGTGCAGTAGGAGACTTAATAATGGAACTACTGAACGTAGACCCAACTCGACGCCCCAGCGTAACGGAGATGCTTAGGGGGAAAAACTTTCTTGCTCGACGAGCGCAAGAACTGAGTAAGCAAATTCTTATACCAGGTAACCCTGCCATGCTTGGACGCAACCCAAATAGCGACGTAAGCATCGAGCAGCAAGATGCTTTGCACGAGCAAATTCAGACATTATGGCCCGAAGTGCCACCGGGCCCCTCTGAAAGCGCTTGCCCTCTGTCTTCTTTGCTTGAGCCCTCTACTCTTTCCCCTTTGACACCCTCACACGCTCCTCTCGCGTCAGAACCGCAGCAAGCGCCCCCAAAATTGACATCACAAGATGACGTACGGTATGTGCTTGAAAAGCTCCGTCATCAGCGCACATCACGTTTGCAAGCTAGTCTCAACTCCGGTCCTGGTGTCAATGTTCCCCTACTCGGCCGAGAAACTGAGGAAGAGATTTCAGGCGAAGAAGAAAAGAGGGAGGAGCAAGAGGGAGGGATACGAGGAAGAGAAGCAAAAGTCAGCGTAGATAGAGGTTCAGAGCCGGAAAAGGGAGCTCTACACATGGACGAAGTGTCCTCATCGGCATTGGCTTCGAATGACATTGCCCTTCCCAAGGCAAAAAGCAGGAGTCATCCACGTAAGGTGCGGTTTTCCGCGCGCAAACCAAGGATCTCGTCGTCCATCTCAGACAGGATTTTTGAAGGCAAGGGCGGGAAAATTTCGAGCAGTTCTGCGGACAAATCCGCTCCGAGGCCAGCTTCCAAGGACGGAAGAAAGCTGGAGGAGGGAAACAGGCGCATGGGAGTGCACGAAGCGGACCCGCCCATGACGCTGGAGGCGCGCGTGCAGGAGTCGAATGCCTTCCTTGTCAGGGTTTTGGGAGAGGAAAAAATGGTCGAGGCTCGACACCGAAGCCGTTTGTCCACTGATCAGCGATGCAGAACGATGCAAAAGAAAGATGAAGAAAGTGGCGTGGATGTGCAAGAATTGTTTGACGGCAACCATGCAAAGTATTTCCCGCTTTTCGAGCATCTCCGGACAATGGAAGCTACGCTGTCTGAGTTCTCGGCCTCAGCAGCGACACGAGCACAACAAGACACGTGCGCGGAGATCGAGCAACCGCAGAAGGAGTTTGATAGATATTAAAGCAGGGGTTAAAAATTCTAAAGAGAAGGAAAAAAGACCGTCGCAATGTAGGCAAAAGCACCTCGTTAGATCATCTTTTCCTTCTTTCTTCCTCTGCGTATTCGTCTAATATCTCTTTTCGCACGATATATTTTTCTCAAGGCCTGCATTCTGTCTCTAGTCCGCGCACCCGACCGGAAGACGTTCTTTCGTTCAATCAAAGCCCTTTCTTCCAGGAAACTGTGACAAACCTAGGAGTCCCACAGCCCTGCTTCCCTCCCTCCCTCCCTCCCTCCTAAAACGGCGTCGTCGGCAAATTTCCATCCGCACTGTCCCCGTACCCCGCCGGGTTGCTGTACCCGCGCACGTCTGCCATGTTCAAGTCGTTCTCAGGCTCGGCGTTCTTGGTGGGAATCAGGCCCATGGGCAAGTCATTGGTGCTCTCCAAAACCTGGTCGATAAGCCCGTATTCCACCGCCTCTTCGGGCGAAAAATACCGTTTGCGACTTGCGTCCTTGATGATCACGTCCAACGGCTTCCCGCATGCCTTGGCCAGCATCTCGCTGTTGATGCGCCGGTTGCGCATGACTTCGCGGGCCTTGATCGCGATGTCCGAGGCCTGGCCCCTTGACAGAGACCGGGGTTGGTGCAACATGATGCTTCCATTGGGCAGCGAGTACCGTTGGCCTTTCGTCCCGCAGGCCAAGAGCATGGCCGCCGAACCGAAGCATTGGCCCACGCAAACTGTGGCAATCGGCGCTCGGATGTAGGACATGACGTCTGCGATCGCAAAGGCCTCCGTGTCAAAGCCCATGGCGCGCCCGTCCGGCGCGGAGATCCCGGGGCTGTTGATGTACATGTATATGGGCCTATCTTGGCTCTCATAGTTCAAGTATAGCAGCTCTGCGATGATGAGCTCCGTGACAGCGGGGACCAGGGCCATCCCCAGGTAGACGATGCGATTGTGGAGGAGGAGGGAGGGAAGGTCGGGAGGAGGACCTAGGCGAGGGTCCGTGGGAGGGGCGTATTCCTGTCGTTCCGCGTACCCACCCCCCGAGTCTCCTCCACCGCCACCACCTTTACGAGCCAATGGCACGATATGGCTTGATCGCGGATGCTGCTGAAGCTGCAAGGCAGGGGGGGATGAGGCAGGAAGGGAGGGAAGAAGGAAAGCTGTGCAACAGCAGACCAGCAGCGACACAATTAGAAGAGGGGCCTGGCCAGGCATGATTCTTGACCGCCCTAATCTTGGCATCCTTGCTCTACGGTTTGATTGCGAGAAGAATGACGTGAGGAAATTATGAGACCTTAAAGTACACAAAGAAGGACACTCGATTGATGATGCATCAGGCACACAGTCAGTCGCTTGTGCAGGCCATTCCAATGCCTCATGAGTTCAGCATTTCCATTGAGGAGCAATCTGGATGTCTTTGACTTGCTGCGTGGGAGATGGTTACCGCACACTTCGCACAGGTACATGACTAAAGCGCGTACATCGGTTCTACTCAAGTCGACTTGCGTGTCGTACTACCATCATGCGAGTGACCTGCAAAATTGGAAATTACACCGTGGCAGCGTCAGGAACTCCTACCAACATCAGAGACACAAAGAAAATGAAATGCCATGGCCTGTTTCGGAGGCTTAGTCCCGCAGACTATCAGACACGTAACCTTTCTTGAGAAAACTGTTCGGCGTCCAGGTAAGAAGGAAATGCAAAGATACTCAGGCTCTGCTTTCACACATCAACTAAAACACCCACATTTTAGCCTTCCACTTCCCTAATTCATCCAATACGACCTCTATCATGTCAAGGTTGTGGTACTTCGTGAATGCCAAGCGAACGCCGTCCATCGCGTTTAGAAGCCAAGCCAGCACCCAGGGCCGCACGCATGCCTCCTCGTTGAACATCGTTCCGATCCGCTCGCTCGTCAGGACTCCACACCTTTTTAGGGATGGCTTTTCCTCGTTCATTTTGCCAGGGTTGATGGTGATACGTTTCATGTGTTGACATTATATGTTTAATTTGAAGCTTTCACCGCTTGTGTTAAGCTCGTAAACAACTTTCCTCGGAAACTCTAATATCTCGTTACGTCCTCGTCCTCCATCCTCCTCGTCCTCCTCATTCTAAACTTAAAAACGCTGTCAAAACAGCCCTTAAGTCTACTAGCTGTGAAAAAAACCCAAATGTATTTTTTAATGCTAGTCGTTGAAGGTGAAAGTGCCCCGCGGCCTTTATTTGCATCTTTTGCGATTTCCGGTGCATACACTCCTTCGCATGTGCTTACAATCTTCACCTTTTCAACGAGCTTTCTCTCCTCCTAGAAGACCAAAACAATTGTGTATACATTCAAAACTTCATGATAATAAATAGCCTGTAGTGTAAAGTTAAAGAAGTGTTCGAGAAAGTTACGTCCATGTGCATAGCTCTGTTGAGAGACTTTAAGAAAGAAGCGAGGTAGCTACGGATGATGGGGTTTAGCGGCGGCTACATGTTAAAGCACGCTACCCGTGGCTACATTTTAGGCAAACTACACATTCGAAAGCATTCGTACCAAGCCAATGAGACATCCATGTGCATGACAACACAAGCATTCATACATCCTTCGACATCACATATTCACTGGAAACACCTTTATGTTGGTAAGAAAGTTTCGTAGACCTCAAGAGATTCAATTTGAATTTCATTCTTAATCACATGCAAGGCTCCATGTGTAACGCCTTTAAGTGTTATTCGCGGCAATTTTAAAAAAACTGGCTCAAACATCTCCACTTCCTATATTTGCCTCTTCACAAACCCTCACCTTCAGAAATTAATCTTGACCACGCCCCCTTCGTTCCAGCCCCAGGACTCCCCATATTCTTTCAATAAACCATCTTCTTTGCTAGTTGCTCCGGTGATTCCCCTTCCCGCGTCACCTGCGTGACCGTCTCCTTGGCTTTCAACAAGTCTTCCAAAGAAATCCCCCACAGGTCTCGCTTATAATACAATAGCCAGTTGCAGACCTGCGCTCTCCGTGTCCGGTTCGGCGTGAGCTCCGCAAACTTGTAGCCTTTGAAACCGTACGGAGCCAGCAGCTCTTTCAAAGACTGCTTGTACATCTTGGGGACGGAGCGGACGAGGGCCGTGTTCGCGCGCTTGACCGGGAAATCCACCTCTCTGTGCCAGGGAGGACAAGGGGGGAGAGGAAGGGCATGCCGGTCATCCAATATGATCTAGATAGGGCTACAGAATGTTTGGCTTGTCACGCGGTCAACTAGGAGGGCAAGTGCCTGTGGCGTGTGCTCGTGATTTGCGCGCCAACGGCTTTTAATATCCGTCCTACCTCCCCCATCCCCCTTCACCCCAGGCCCTGCAACCCTCTCATGAGGCACATGGCCCGCCACGTACTTCTCGTAGATGCGAGTCACCCCCACAAGGTCCGGTGGATCCGGGTATCGTGCCCGCCATTTGGGGAAGACGCGGGTGTTGTCCCACCGACCCTCTGTAGGCACATAACGGTAGCCTGGGGGGAGACAAATAGGGGGTACAAGCGAGGATGATTGCAAGGCTACTTGAGCGTTTTGGATAGGCAGGACTTCTGGATCCATCATGCAACATGGGGGCTAAGGATTGTCACGTGTCAAAATCTTCCTCTGCTTGCATTCCCATATTGTCGTTACTGTCCGTACGACACGCAGACAAGCACACTCTCGCTGTCCTTGACCTTCCCTGCTCACCGAGGCATTTCCACGCTAGCCAGTTTACCTCCTCGTCTTTACACATTAGCTTCACAATTTTAACCAAATTCGTCTCCTCCAATTCGGCGGCCAAAGGCTCCGGTACGCTGATGTCCACCAGAAACCGCTCCGTGTCATCTGCCCGAATGGGGCCTTCCACAACTATGCCATTGTCTGAGTTAGGGACAGGGTCAGGTATAGAATTTCCCTCTGTAGGACCTGTGTCACTGGCGGCCCGTAGGGGGAGAGCAGAGGAGATCCGGCGCGATGGCGTGAGGGGATGTGAGCCCCAACAAGCAAGTTTCTGAGAAAATCCCAGGAATGGCTGCCGAGGAAGAAGGAAGGCACGAGTGCGGTGTGACACCAGCCCCAGGCAGTGAAAGAAGATGAAAAACGTTGGTGCTCTCCTGTATTGACGGTCCCTCGACATGCTACTAGATGGATGCACGATAGCTTTGCCTTCAGGCCAGGGCAACTCGTCCTAATCACCCGCGTCCTTTGCCAGGATAGTCGTCTGTACATCATATCGGTGTGTTGACACGGAGAAAGATGGCCGTGGCTGGTGAGTATACAGGGAAACAAAATGTAATCCGTCGTAGACAGGAGTACGTACTACCCTACTTAAAAATCCTTTCTCCCCCAGCAGCAGCCGGCACTCCCCCTCCACCCTCAACATGAAAGGCACTTTTTGACACATACATGCGTATTCTTCACACAGATTGGACGTGCCCGACATGACACATCAACTACATAAAAATAGAGGGAAGGCGGAGGGAACCACTGCGCGGACTCTGCGGCTTTTTGACTTTCAGGTCTGTGAGGAGGACGGGAGTAAGGGAGCGTATACCTCCTCCCAAACCAGCAAAACCTTTGGTTAAAACAAAGTTCGATGCCTGCGCAGATGTCTAAGCGTCAAAGACTAATTATTTTACGAAAACTTGTTTATCGTATGGGCGCTGGGAAGGTATCTCGCTATCTTTCCTTAACGCCTGTCTCCAAGCAATTTCATGGCCCGACAGAACGACCGATCGAGATATTAATATGTGGGGAAAATTAGTGTCAAGCGAGTTCTTCAGTACCATACATTTCTTATCTTAGTATCTTAGTACCATACATTTCTTATCTTAGCTCATCCTCTCAGTCGTTCACTCCCTTGATGCCATGAAGACAATTCTTAACAGCGAGAACGAGGACACCCTTGTGCAAGGGTTACAGAGGGCAGCCCATCAGATACTGCGCGAGCACGGTTACTTAAAGCCGAAAGGGAATGAGGAAGTGGACGATGACTACGAGGTGTCAGATGAGGAACTGGAGGAGTTGGAGGACAGGGTCCAGAAGGAAGAGCGAGAGCGGGAAGCCATGATACAAGATCGGTGGAGGAAAAGGAAGAGGAGGAGAGAGGAAATGGAGAGGGAAGGCGAGGAAGCAGGTGATGATGGAGGAGTTGGTGGGGCAATAAGCAAGGGAAATGAGGAGGAAATGCACAACGAGGAGAATAAAGAGGAGGAGGAGGAAGAGGAGGAGGAAGAGGAGGAGGAAGAGGAGGAAGAGGAGGAGGAGGAGGAGGAGGAGGAGGAGGAGGAGGATGATGATGATGATGATGATGACACTCTAACAGAAGAGGAGGAGGAAGGAGAGGATGAGGAGGAGGAGGCGGAAGGGAAAGACCAGGAGGGGAAGAAAGCAGATGACGAAGGGGAGGAGGGTTGGCTCCGGAAAAAGACGCCGACAGGCGACATGGAGGACAAGGAGGGAGAGGAGGGGAAGCAGGTGTCTGTACCGCCTGGCTCCACGGACAGCACAGAACCTCCCTCACCACCTTTTCGCCCCCTCACGGGCCTCCTCTCCGCCTACCTGCTTTCCTCACCCAAAGCCATCGAGCTCTCCCACCACCTGTGGGACCTTCCCCTGCGCCAGTCCTCCCGCCGCGTGGCGGAGAAACACACCTTCCTCCTGGCCGTCCTCCTCCGATGCCTGCGCCGACGGTCCTTTCCCCCGTCGAAAATTCTGCGAACGGCCGACGCGAAGACCCTCCTGTCCCCTTCAACTTCCGCCCTCGCCTCCCTCCTTTCCCGGCAGCTTCTACGTGAGCGAGGCACGGAGCTCCATGCTCAGCTCATCTCGAACCACCAACACCTGGCTACGGCCACCTTACGCTTGCTGACCGCCCTCGTCCGTTGCAAGAGCAGTAACGGCTGGGACATATTGGGCCGGCATGCCCTCACCTCCAAGCCCGTCCTCCACCTCTTCTCCCCCCTCTCCCCTCGGTCCCGCCCCGTGGCCGTTGCCTTCGCCAGCGCCTTTCTTCGAAGCCGAGACCCCGGGCTGGGCACACGGCTCCTGAGCACGGACCGGATCTTGAAAGCCATCTTCAAGTCCCTCCCCCAGGACGAGCCCCGCACCCTGGAGATATGGCTGGCCTCCCTCTGGTGCGCCCTGTGCCACCCCCAGGTGCCCGGCAAAGTAAAAAAGAGACTCGTAACCGTCTCCCGGCTCGAGGAGTTGAGGAAGGTGCTGAGCGGGCGAGGGAGGGAAGGTAGGAGGGCGGGGGTGGTGAGGCTGGTTGGAGATCATGGTCAGGGGGAGGGAGGGGGCAGGGGAGGGAGGGGGGGGGGCAGGGCGAGGGACGGGGGGACGGGCGGGCGTGGCGGTCGTCCGCTTGCTCTTGTCCCTGGCCGGAAGCGCCGACCTGTACCAACAGGAAGTCGCATTGAAGTTCCTGGCCAACTACCCGGATGTACGTGAGCCGTTTATCCGACGGTTCAACCCGCCGTTGGAGGCTCGGCCGACGGTTTCGGGCTTGGCTGCCTACACCTTTGT